GACCCAAGTAGTAATACAAGGTCATGAAATTCACATTACGAGGATGACATCTCCGAAAAATTTGATTTGAAAGAAAGATGATAACAAAAATAAATTTCATGTTTGAAAGACTCTGTAATAACCTTTGCCTTAACTGAAGCCTTGGTTCCAATGCCATTCTAACAAGGGGGTGTTTTGAGTCATTATTGAGTTAAAATATGTGAAACATTTTCATATCATCAAGAAACCAAGTACAAGAAAAAGAGAAAAAAATCACAATTCGTAAGAGAAAAGCATGCAACTAAAACAGATCAAATACATTTAATGATTTAATAAGTCAAGATAGAAAGGAAGCTGACTGGAAGACACAGAAAATGAACCTTTTATTTCACGAAAATCATCCATCAAAATAGAGCAAAATGTACAAAAACTGGCAAAAGCTTCAAAGACTTACTCAGAGGGCAATCATCCCCTGGGAGTTTGCAATCAGGGCAACAACCATCAAAAGCCATCCTACAAATGCCACAAGTTTCATCTTGGGCATCCCATGTCCATGAAGCAACAGCATGCCATCTGTGATTTATTAAAGAACAAAATTTCATCTCCTTAAATAATTTGAATTCCATAAAATAAGCAAATATTAGAAGGGATATTAAAGAGCATACTCTGTCCATCAGGTCCATCAGTATCCATGAATGACTGGGTCAAGGAAAACCATTTCTCAAGGCCTCAAAAGCAAAATTAATCTTCTACCTAAAGCAGATTCAATACTCGACAATCTGATTAAATGTGCTATTACATAATGAAGTGTAACTTAGATGTTAAAAATTGAAAGGTGGAATAATTTCGATAAACATTTCCACGTTGTAGTCAGCCCAGTAATCATTTTAACGCATTCAACTAAATCTTCAGTCTGAATACCAAATCAGAAAGCTGGATTTCCATCTAAAAATCAGGCAATGCTTTTGGAAAGTTATATAACAAGCTACCTCCATACAACTAGAAACTTAATAGACCCATACATAGCGCAAAGAGCTCAGACGTTTTGTCTTCTATTCGCTGACAGATCATATACACAAGCTTTAATCAGTTTCAGGAAGTCCACTTCACATTACATTCTACTATAAATTACTGGTTTCTTCTCACCTAACACTCAACTGCTTGCACCTAAGTCATGTAAATCTTGATTATTTAGGTAAATAAGTGATAATGAATGTTATTCTCTCACCAAATCACGAAATTAATGCAAAATTATGCCAGGGGATTAAGTCATATCCCTGATGATTAGGTAGAGCTTCTAGTAATCCAATCAATGAAATGGCTATAGATATCCGGAACCAAAACAAAACTTTGAATTCTTGCATAGCGATATTATCTTAAATCAATACAAATTAAATAAACGCATGAATATAGGAATATTTAATTATGCATTTACATATAAAAGGATACGTAAAATCTTGACTTTCATATTCTTGTCCCCTGCAAAATCATAACAGATATTTTACAAAACATGCCTTTTCTTTTTTCTTAAACGCACAAAACATGTTTCTTCTTTCTTTTTTTATGCACAAAACATGCTTTTAAAAGTTCAGTAAAACTTAAAAGTTGTGCACAATTTCGAACAGATTATTGAAATTTCCACCACAATCCACAATGATAAATTATCAACATTGCCACCATTATTGTTATACTTGAGTTATACTAAACAATTGCCGCCAACTTGAAAGAACTTAAGTCAAAATGTAACGTTCAGAATGACAAGCTTATGACCCTTTTCCAGTATGCAAAGATTCGAGGGCAAAGTGAATTTGAGGGTGTAGCTAGAAGCATGGACTTGGAATGGAGAAATAATTTTATATCTATAAATTCATCAAATCATCTTGTTCTGAAACCCATTAGTTGTGCACACAAAATTCATATACCAAATTGCAAATTCCAAACCTCTCACTTCCAGTTCGCCCAGATCCCCCTCCACCAAATATTCCCCCCGGGCCCCTTTTCTCCAACCTATTATTAGGGGTGTCCAAAAGTCCCGAACCGAACC